TTCCGATCCCCCAAAACCCCAAAACCCCTTGCTCTATTACATCAAGAATTAGTTATATTATAATAGAAACTTGATTGAAATAATATTTTTAATTCAAATTTCAAAATGGCATCTGTGAGTTCAGTTATCATGCCCATAAAGTTTTTGCTTATGATGATGGAGTTCCTCCTAGTCATCTTTGCTGCAGCTACGAGAGTAAGTCCATTATAACTATATTTATTTCTGTATAGGAAGAATTTATACATGAGGGTATTTCATCTATATATGACTTTGATTCCGATGTCTACAAAGAAGCAGACAGATCGTATTCATTCAATTATTATTAAAAATATATAGAGTGCTAGCAGCTTCATTAATATTTATCATTTTGCTGTTCTCAGAGTTTTTCACATTGATTTTTGGAGTGTCATTGCTCTTCAATAAGGTCAACGTTGTGCAGATAGTCTTTCATTTTATTGGCTGTCTAGCTTTGATTTGGCAGATCCTTGATAGAAATCAGTACAGGACAATGTGGTCACTTATGGCATTCTTTGGCTTCATACCTTTCGCAATGGAGATAGGAGTTCTGTTTGCTGCTTGTACTAAGTATAAGGTTATATCTAATGTGGAGTAATTGTAAAGATAACAAGAAAGAGAAGCTACAAGAAGAAGAGAAGAGTATGAGAGAAAATAACAAGAAATAGCTAAGCTAACCATGGGTGCAACATAATCAAAAGCAGCAGGAGCTATTCCCCAGCCTATATGATAGACTATGAATGTTGATGATTTATAAATATATCTAGATATAATTGACACTCTTATTGAATTTAAAGCATTTATTTCATTAATACGAATTAATTCAAAGTTATTTCCAGAATTGTATAAGAAACTAGCTCTGACTAAAAAATTAAAAGTGAATTAATTAATATTATAGTACCGCTATCATAGTATAATTATACATTCATTAAACTTCATTATTAAAATGCTTGAACTGAGGCAATCAAAAAGTCGAATAGCCAGGGTCCTGATAAGGATTCATTCGCATGTTTGCTCCTGCATAGGCATCTCTGCTTCTTTCCTTGAGTGGGTACCAAATGTATCCTATGCAACTGAGTGTATAATACACTACTGTATGTATTCCTTTGTAAATATACTATCCGATAAGCTAATTATTTTCTCAACATCTTTCAATTAAATACTTACCCATACTAGCAAAAAGAAGCCTTGGAAAAAGTTGATGATAAAATTCTTAGTTGACTCCATTAATAATACTCCAAAGCAATTCAATTAATTTAATTTATTTATAATTACTAAACTATTATTATCCCAATTTAAATTCTTTATTCAGTATTATGGGGTTTTGGGGTTTTGGGGTTTTGGGG